AAGGCCTTCCGGTGGATCACAGAACTTAATGAACATGAGAGAGTTCATACTGGAGAGAAACCTTTTCAGTGTAAAGAATGTGGGAAGACCTTCCGCCAGAGAAGAAGTCTTATTCAACACCAGAGAATTCACACCGGAGAGAAACCTTATAATTGTAGTGAATGTGGGAAGGCCTTTCGGTGGAGCACAGACCTTACTGAGCATCAGAGGATTCATACTGGAGAGAAACCTTATACATGTAAAGAATGTCGGAAAGCCTGCCCACATTCAATACAGTTATAAGGTTTCTCTCCAGTATGAATTCTCTGATGCTGAGCAAGTGGTGCTCTCTGACGGAAGGCTTTCCCACATTCTTTACATGTATAAGGTTTCTCTCCAGTATGAATCCTCTGATGCTCAGTAAGGTCTGTGCTCCACCGAAAGGCCTTCCCACATTCACTACAATTATAAGGTTTCTCTCCGGTGTGAATTCTCTGGTGTTGAATAAGACTTCTTCTCTGGCGGAAGGTCTTCCCACATTCTTTACACTGAAAAGGTTTCTCTCCAGTATGAACTCTCTCATGTTCATTAAGTTCTGTGATCCACCGGAAGGCCTTTCCACATAGATTACATTCATAAGGTTTTTCTCCAGTATGAATTTTCTGATGTTGAGTAAGTTCTGTGCTCCTGGGGAAGGCCTTCCCACATTCTTTACATTCATAAGGTTTTTCTCCAGTATGAATTCTCTGGTGTTCAATAAGGCGTATTCTCTGACGGAAGGCATTCCCACATTCTTTACACGTGTAAGGTTTCTCTCCAGTATGAATTCTCTGGTGTTGAGTGAGCCCTGTTCTCCGGCAGAAGGTCTTCCCACATTCATTGCATTTATAAGGTTTCACTCCCGTGTGAACTCTCTGATGACGAGTAAGTTCTGAGCTCCATCGGAAGGCCTTTCCACATGACTTACATTCATAAGGTTTCTCTCCTGTATGGATTCTCTGATGTTCAATAAGGCGTATTCTCTGCCGGAAGGCCTTTCCACATTCGTTACATTTATAAGGTTTCTCTCCATTATGAATTTTTTGATGTTCACTAAGTCCTGTCTTCCGACTGAATGCCTTTCCACATTCATTACATTCATATGGTTTCTCTCCAGTGTGAATTCTCTGATGTCGAGTAAGTCCTGTCTTCTGACTAAAGACCTTTCCACATACATTACATTCATTAGGCTTCTTTGCAGTAGAAATTCTTTAGTTATAATTCAGACCTTAGTGACAACCATAGAATACATCCCGGAGTGAAACCAGTTGGAGATGATGAATGTCAGAAGGCCTTCCCCAATAGCATGAACCTTACTCAACATCAAAGAATTTCTACTGCAAAGAAGCCTAATGAATGTAATGTATGTGGAAAGGTCTTTAGTCAGAAGACAGGACTTACTCGACATCAGAGAATTCACACTGGAGAGAAACCATATGAATGTAATGAATGTGGAAAGGCATTCAGTCGGAAGACAGGACTTAGTGAACATCAAAAAATTCATAATGGAGAGAAACCTTATAAATGTAACGAATGTGGAAAGGCCTTCCGGCAGAGAATACGCCTTATTGAACATCAGAGAATCCATACAGGAGAGAAACCTTATGAATGTAAGTCATGTGGAAAGGCCTTCCGATGGAGCTCAGAACTTACTCGTCATCAGAGAGTTCACACGGGAGTGAAACCTTATAAATGCAATGAATGTGGGAAGACCTTCTGCCGGAGAACAGGGCTCACTCAACACCAGAGAATTCATACTGGAGAGAAACCTTACACGTGTAAAGAATGTGGGAATGCCTTCCGTCAGAGAATACGCCTTATTGAACACCAGAGAATTCATACTGGAGAAAAACCTTATGAATGTAAAGAATGTGGGAAGGCCTTCCCCAGGAGCACAGAACTTACTCAACATCAGAAAATTCATACTGGAGAAAAACCTTATGAATGTAATCTATGTGGAAAGGCCTTCCGGTGGATCACAGAACTTAATGAACATGAGAGAGTTCATACTGGAGAGAAACCTTTTCAGTGTAAAGAATGTGGGAAGACCTTCCGCCAGAGAAGAAGTCTTATTCAACACCAGAGAATTCACACCGGAGAGAAACCTTATAATTGTAGTGAATGTGGGAAGGC